CAGCGCGGGGACGCGCGCTGTCTCTTTAAGGGAGCTCGGTCTGGGGTGGCGCTTTCCTCCTCGAAGGCTCCTTTGATATTAATAGTGTTGGTGTCTTGAAACTGACGTAATGCGCGGAGACTGAGGTCCTGACAAGCGATAACATTTCTGATAAAGACCCGATCTCACTGCAATCTCAAGCGTCCTCTTTTTTTGGTGCTGCTCGTGTCTCCAGACCCCGCGTCTTCTCGCTCGCTCGCTCGCCTTCCTATTTTTTTTTTTTTTAAACAAAAAACAACACCCCCCTCCCCTCTCCCACCCGGCACCGGGCACATCCTTGCTCTATTTCCTTTCTCTTTCTCTCGCTCTCTCGCTCTCTTTTTTATATAAACGGGGGGAAGAGGGCAGGGAAGGGGGGCAGGAAAGACCTTTTTCTCTCCCTCTCCCCCCCTCCCCCCGAAATAATCCAAGATCAACTCTGCAAACAACAGAAGACGGTTCATGGCTCTGGCCGCCGCGCCACCATCTTTCGGGCTGCCGAGGGTGTTCTTGACGATTAATCAACAGGTAAGGAGGGGAGGCCGGGGCGGCTGGGGCCGGGGCTGGGGGCTCTCAGCCGGCCCGGGGCGCCGCGCCGCGAGTGCTGCGCCCGCGCGTGTGTGCGCAGAATGTGGGCGATCGCGAACGGGGAGCCTTGGGAATTAAAAGTGACTTTCTTTGGAGGAAAAAAAAAAAAAAAAAAAGGCTGAAGGAGAGTGTGCAGAAAGCCAAGCTCAGGCTTCTCGGGTTTCACATGCATTTTCTTTCTTCCTTTTTGCGCGTGTGATTTCTTTCTTTCTTCTCCCCTGCTCTCCCCCCCCACCCCCCCAAGCCTGCCAGCTCCTGCTTCTTTTGGTGGGTCTCAGGCATCTGAGCTTTGGAAAGGGACGGCTTCTAACTGCGGTAGCCCCTGGAGTCAGGAGGGTCAAGTTCAGCCGCCTGGGAGGAGGAAAAACAAATCCCCATTTGCCAAAAAAAGAAGTTTCAGGCCGGTGCCCCCTCCCCCTCGCTGTCTCTTTCTGGCGGATTTTAATTCTCTTCTACCGGGCTCAGCAGAGGAGCTGGAGGTGGCTGGACCCGAGGGGCCTCCACCGCTGCAAGTTTTCTGGGGCTCCTGACAAGCGGGGCACAGACTAGGCACCAGCATGCAGAGTAGTAAGTTGGGCGGTCTTGGGAGGGTCTGGGGTCTCAGAGAGAGGCCTTCATGTGGTCCCTCAAGTGAGAAAACAGCACAGGACTGGCGTTGGCTTTCAAGAGTTTGCAAAGCCGGGCTTCAAACTTTTTTCCCCTTAAAGGCCCAACTGGGCTGGAGAAGAAGGGTGTCGCATCCCCTGATGCCCCCGCATGTTCGGGACCCAGTGCAGCTTAGTCGAGGGGGTCTGTGCCCTGTCCGTGCCATGTGGCAGGCAGGGCCTTGCAGCCAGGGCGCTTCCGTAGGGGCTGAGGAAGGGGCAGGCTTCCTCCACAGTGCGGATGATGCGCCATGTGTCGCGGGTCAAGGGACACCGGCCGGTGACTAAATGCCTGACAGCGGTGGGACATCCAGGCGGACAGGCGATCTGCCTTCTCTTCAGTTCCTGTTTGGGCCCTTGAGAAACGCATCTTTGAAAGGCCAAGGCAGACGCCACTGTTCCTTCAAATAACTCCAGGATTATAGGACCCCATGAATAATTTGAGGGTGAGGCAGAGGTGGGAGCTGTTTGAAGTGCAAAGCTCTTTTTGTGACCCGGAAAGCTTTTTTGTTACTACCTGTCTGAGATGGTGGTGTTTCCAACCTTTTCCCCAGGGAAGTCGGTTAACTGTTTTATGGCCCCAAGACTAAAGCAATTTAAGTTTGAGGGCAAGGAGAATTGGTGGGTGTCAGAGGGAATTTTGGACTTTCAACATTTTAGGTTCTGCTTTACTTTCCCAGATCTTTTTAGGCCTTAGTGTTGATGCTATGAAAGCTTTGGAGTAAGAGCCATGGATCTTAAGGATGAATCGAGATTATGACAGAATATCATCTTTATCCTATTTTGGGAAATCACGGCTAGAGTGTAGTTCACTCTACAGGAAAGTGGAGTGAGAAGCTTGGTGGAGCAGTTGAATTATAGAGAAGGTAGGCCGCCTCATTGAACTTCTGTAGATTCATTTGAACTTTTGTAAACTCACCAGGTGGGACAGAAGGGGTCTGGAGCATAGTAAATAAAAAGGGAAAATATAGATAAGGCCTGAGAGAAAATTGTAAAGAAATGACAAATGGTTGTTGCTAAAATGTGATTGCCCAAAGCAAAAATGAAAATAGGAACCTCCCAACAACTCTCAACTGTGTTGTGAAAAACTTGTGGGTCTTCTGGGCATCCTGTTACTTTCCTGTTGGTTTTAGGAAAAGTTGATCATTTCCAAAAGGCTGCCAGAGTTAAAAATGCAAGGGGCAGCAAAGGAAAGTACTACGGGCAGCCAGTTCTTGACGTGGACAAAATGAGAATGAAAGTTTCTGAACTCACTGTTGTAAAGTTTCTTGCATGGAGCTCACTCTTTTGGTTAGAGCGCTTTCTCAAATATTCCACCCTTTAATGTAAAAAAGCAAACAAGCTTTAAAATGGTGTGGGCTTTTATTATTTCTTTCCCCCCAAGTATGCCAGGGTTGTGAATAAATAACAGGGTTTGTATGGGAAGATGTAGCATTTCCTGTGTTATAATGTTAACAGCACAGTCTGGAAGTGATACCAATATATTTTTTTTTACCTTTAAGTGAAAGTTTACTAATGAAGTTCCTAATCTTAATGTGTCAAGCATAGGTTATCTCTCCTTAGATTTCATGACTTCCTTTTAGTGCTACTCCCTTGGTAAAATAGATCTAGATTTCAGTTAAATATCCAGGGCCACTGATGCTAAAGTTTGATGATTATGTCTGGGTATTAATTATGTGAAAATAAAATTCTTGAGGACAAATAGACTTTTAAGGCCAATGTTACAACTTGGTTTCTTTAAATGTTAGGCATTCTGAACCTTCGTTTAGTACTCAGTTGGCAAAGTAGTATTATTTACCATCGGCGTGTTGCTGTTTACTGCTTCCTGATATACAGAGCTGTTCTATGTTAGCATATGTGTGTGTAGAATACTTTCATACATAAAGTAACAGTCTGCCACTCTCCAAGTGAGTGGTGGAACAGAGTAAATTCTAACAAAAAGTTTGTCACTCCCTTGGATTCTAGACTGCTGCTATTTAGCTTTTCTCCTTTGTCTCTTAAAGGTAACATTAAAAGTAAGGAGAAAAAAGTCTTCGTTCTTGTGAAGTCTGAGATGATTTTTAAAGTTTAGCTTTTGATGATTCCTATTTTAAATGATTGTATAGCATTTTCTACCCACTTGCTGAAAAAATTAGGTTGATACGCGTATTAGTGTGCTTATCATAAGTGAATAGCACATACTCCTGCTTTATTTTCAGTAATCTTTATACTCTTCTTTTAAGTCCCGTCTCACTCACCACTGAGTTTGCTCTGATTTCTCCTGTCTCGGTTTCTCTAATATACATAAAGAAATCTTCATTCATAAGGAGAGCTTCAGAATAGGGAAATGAGTTTATCTGTGTAAAAGCTGCTTTTATGATCCTAGTATTTCAGTGATATTGCTAATATTCTTGTTGTCTTATTGTTATTATATGAAGTGCATAAATATAGAGACATAGACCATAATTTGCAATTGATAGTCTGTACACTTCTACTAAGAAAACAAGTCAGAAGGTGTTGGGTTTTAATAAACTTTTGGCTTACCTTCTTTGTTACAGTAAAAAACACTTCTGTAAGTTTTAAATGGACTCATTGCAAATTGTTTTCAAACTAGAACTTTATTTCCAGTTGGAAATTAGCGTATCGATAAGTGAAGTTTGAACAGTTTTCATAATGCATCTGTTCATAAATCATATTTTACCTCAATATCTGGGTTGATAGCAAACAATACCGTAACAACACTGCGCTATTGTGTGGAAAACAAAATAGAATTTCAGAAAGTTGTAGGCAGGTGTCTATTATCGATTTGAAGGGAAAACTGATTTTTAAAAAATAAGTGATGCACTTAAAAAGACTGGCTCACACGGGAACATATTCTTATTAAGATATTCTCTGGTGTGTAAAATGAAGCCATTCATTCAACAGACTGACAACTTTCCACTTGGTATTTGCCTTTGCTTAATTTAGTTTCCTCAGGACAGCTAGTGTGGTAGTCTGCATTTGGTTTTGGCAGGCACAGAAAAGTATAAACTCAGACAGTTCTGTCCCAAATATTGCTGCTCACAAGTTGCAATCAATTTGATAGAAACAGCCAAGTTTTATGGACTTGCTTTCTGTTGTTCAGCCTTGCTCAAGCTTTCAGGTAATAGAGATTTCTTTTTCTCCTTTTTTTGCTGGTTGTAACTACTAATATCATTGATAACTAATACTGAATCTTGTTTACTCGTTTACCTTCTTTATTTAGTATTTATGGAAACTCTGGGAAATCAGTGATAATTTATTGAGACTTGAATTTATTTCTGTTGCTTATCCAAATAACAGCATTTTTCTTTTGATGTCATCATCCAAAAAGAAGTGGACTCTTTGTGACTATAATATTATGATTTCTGGAATTGTTGGATCCCTTAGAAATAGTATGAAGGAGCTCTAATAGCCTTTGACATATAGAAACTTAATCAGATTTTTAAGGATATTGTAATTGCCACATTTACAGAACAATAATGAACGCTTCAAGTGTTTATGTTTGGAAAATTAAGCAGAGCATCTTATAATTGTCACAAATATTTTGTCTCCTAGAAGTTTTGTTTATTGGGTTAACATGTTGTTGTTGTTAAGTTCTGTGGAGTCCTCTACGATGCTCAGCGACCCTGTACAGGGTTTCCAAGGAGCAGTTGGTGGGTTTGAACTGCCGACCTTGCGGTTAGCAGTTCATTGCTTATCCTACAGTGCCAATACCACACTTGTTATACTACTGTTCAGTAGCAAATGGTGCTGCAGAGATTAACTACTTTAAAAAACTCACCTCCAGATATAAAAAGCTTTTAAGTCCTTTATTTGTACAGAATATTCTATTAATTATATGTGCTCTTTGTGAATAATATCTTTCATGTTACGTTCGTTCTTCATCACCTTTTGCATTGTTATACCACTAAGTGTGGGTCTCAGATCCTTAGAAATTGAATTTGATGGTCTTTGGTTTGGTTCTCTGATCAGTATAATAATGTAGAAGCTGATTTAATCTAACCTAAGCCAGTTTACTTAATTTGCCGAAGACTTTATGGATAGAAATTATTTGAATTGTTAATAATTAGATGGATGAAGAAGCCGATCTAGTCACTGAAGCTATAATAGTTAATACAGTAGCCATGTGTAGTTTTTTGCTATTCCCTTTTATTACCAAGAGCACAGATCCAAGTAGCAGAAACAAAGATGAAATTATCTGTGCACTTTAAATTTGAAGCATCATTGGAAATAATTTTCTGATTCAAAGCTGTAATTGAAATACAAATAACATTCGAACACCCTATAGAACACATTAAGATATGCTTTCCATTCCTAAGAATGTTTCATTTAAAAACAAAAAAACAAAAAAAGTTTTAATTTTTAAAATGTTTTTTAGCTCTTTAAAAACCTGCAGTAAATACTTTACAAGTGGCTAGACACCTTCCCTGGTGGTTTAGTTTATACAAGCAGGAAACTTTCTCTCCTACTCTTTCTCTCTCTCTTTCTTGTTTTCTTTAAACCAACTGACGTAATGCCAAACGTTGCTTTAAAAGAACAGACAGAAGTAATTGGTAGCTTTTAACTTTTAATAATGTTCTGGATTGGTTTTAGTGGCCAAAATGCCATTTTTTTTTTTTTTTTTTTAAGAAAGTTCAAGTAAAACGGGCTTGTGGCCCGAGGAAGAAAGGCTCTGTTGATGCAGTTATTTTTATTCTTGTTTTTCAATCTGTTATTAAAAATCTTTCCTGGTGAGCTGGATTTCTGCTGGATTTCTCCAGTTGCTCTTTGTGATGGCTGGTGCACTTCTGGCTACCATAACTTACACAGTTTTGGGGTTTTGAGGGGAGTAGGTATTTATGTTGCATTCTTATTTGGTAAAATACTGTTTTTGTTTCAATTGAGATGAGTAAACTAAGGTTATCAATGGTGACAGGTCAGTGA